CAAGGACCATGGCCACAAAAACTTACTTTTTTGTTACTATTTTTTTTTTTCAGATAATTAAAAAAATGTATGATAACAAAATGGAAGAGATTTTTGTTTAATCACTAATCGCAGTCTTAGGTCCTTTAATGTGCTGAGGAGCCCGGAGACTGTCCAAAGAGAGAGACAGTCACAGGATGGCCCAAACCTCTGCTGAAGGGCATTTCCTGGGACCAGTGTTTCCCAGGATACAGTTTGGGAAACTGGCAGAAAGCAAGGTCCCTAAGGTCAGTGCAGTCCACTCCATGCCCAAGCCCAGGCCCTGGGACAGGAACACCCCTTGTCATTTCCCTGCGCACCGAGGCACTGAGGTTTGGGGGCACCACTGAGCTCGGAGCCTTCAGCAGCCTGGTCATCTGGGTATGTGGGGGAGAAAGGTCACCCCACGTGGAGCAGGGCAGGGCAGGCTGGTGCCACTCTCATCTCACAGAGAACTCTAGAAACTCAGTCGGGTTTGTATGCAGAGGCTGGGGGGAGCCTGTGGGGATGCCTGGGCGCGGAGGCCGTTCTTGTGTTCTGAGATGTCAGGGGGGCAGCTTAGTCTCACCCAGAGCTACAGGAAAGTGTTGGGGCCCAAGTGGGAGGCCGGCTAATTTCCTCGTGATTCTTTCTTAACGGTTGCCCAGCGCGAGCCTCACCGGAGCACAGTCCTGAGGAAGCTGCTGCTGAGACCCTACAGGGAACGCTGGCTCTTCTGAGGAAAAGGAGTGTTTTCAGGATGGTGAATTTCTGACCATCTTCTTACAATTTAAAATTAATTGGAATCACTGAAAGGGCTTTTGGTGAATTGCCTGTTGCCTCGAATGCCCACTGGTTGGTCCCGGGTGTCCCTGAGCTAAGACATTCTCACATTTTTAAGCTTACCAAGCCCATGTTTCTCCTTCTGACAAGTCTTTGTAGCCAACTAAAGGATCCCACCAGGATAGAAGCCAAAAGCCCCAAAAGAGGGGGGTCCCTTTTCCATTCTGCTGTTTACTGGGCCATAGTCAGAACTAGCATCTGCAAGGACAGCTCCCCTTTCTCCTTTGCTTTGAATCCAGAATCACTTATGTGGAAACTGCAGGGTAATATGCATGACTGTGTATCCTGATACCTTCATGTTCTCGCAAGGCTCGCTGTCCCATTAATCACCAGATAAAACAAACATAAAGGAAGCCTCAGGCAAATTTTACTGCCGTTTTCCTGCCATGTAGGGGCTAACATGATGTACCCAACACCAGTCAAGAGCCTATGAAAGAAAATCACAGCAAATTTAGCAGGACAGGCCCTAGCTAGGAGCACGAGCACACACCGCGCAGGGCCAGGCCTTTCTGCTGGGCACTGGGCCTGCCACAGGGCGTCGGCGGGCGTACGGAGCTGGCTCAGCCTCCGGGGACTAGGCCAGCCTTTCTCTCAGACCCAGGATTTACAGCTAGAGAAATGAGATGGTAAAATGAGGTCAGTCTCTCCTCTTAACCATAGGACTCTCCACGAAGGAGCACTAAGAAAGCAGAGCTTAGACACTCTGATCACCATCCCAGCTTTGTCCACAGACCCCACAGGACATGCCCTTTCCCTCGATGCTTGTTCCCAAGGGCTCCCCAGCTTGCCTAGCCGATCTCCCAGCTGCTCACCACGCGGCTCAGTGAGCTGAGCTAACCAATGCTGACGGCCCGTGGAGGCCTGGTTCACACCCACCCCCACCCGGGGCCCGGGGCAGCAGCAGCAGGCGCAGGCTGCATCCTTGGCGAGCTGCACACTGCGACCTGGTCCCGACACTGCGCTGCTGACGCTGGGACTACGGGCTGGGGGCAGAGATTAACAAGCCTGTTAGCTTGTGTTTCAGAGCCAGCCTGGGCTCCACCCAGAGCCCCCGGGCAGCTGCACTTGCCCACACTGGGCTCCCACTGAGAAAAGGGGCACAGCTGAGACTCTCCACCGCCCTCCCTCCCCAACCAACACACCGCAGGTCCTGGACGCAGAGCTTCCCAGCCCAGGAGGGAATGCGGCGTTAATGAACGCTGACGAGCAATCATTTAATGTGGGATCAAAGAAAGAGGGTCACACGGAGCAGCGGCTTCTCAGGGCCCAGCTCTGGCGGAAGGAGAGCAAGCTGGTTTCACGAAGCTGCAGCTGGGGCAACTCGCTGTCTTTGAGAAGCAGGATTCCTGCCCGCACTTTCTGTCCTTGGGCATGTAGTGAATCCAAAGCAGCAGCTTTCAGGGCTGTCCTGAGAAGCTGTTAGGGTCCAGATTTTAGCAAATGGTGCCTGAATTTGAGTCCCTGCCTGCTACTGACTGCTGCGCGAGCCCTATGCCTCAGCTTCCTCAACTGCAAGATGGGGCGAATAAGAACTATGTGGAGGGGTGTGGAGAGGGCGAGAGTTAGTGCCTGGAGCCTGCTGCAGCCTCAGTTCCAGCCCCCCCCCCCAGGGGCTTAGTTCCTGCAGTGACCCAGGAAGAGGTTGCTCCTATTCCCACCCCCATTTTACAGAGGGACAAACTGAGGCTAAGAGACGTTTAGTGACTCATCCAAGGACAGAAGAAAAAAGTGGGGAGAATAAAAACCAGGCCTGTCGGACTCTAAGCTGTGCACTTCCTGCCCCTCCACACACACAGAACTATGTCAGAATCAGTTAGGAAGACATGCTTATGACTGGGACACAAAATGGTAAAAGGTGAGCCTCACTATCTCAATTAAACTGTTTCCTTTTGAGTTCAAGGACCATGTTTTTGTCTCTCAATTAACAGTCCCTGGGTTTACATGGAAATTCACAGAAGAAAGTGCAACCGTGGCCTGGTTCAGAAAATTTGATAAAAAAATCCAAATAGCCCTGGCCGGTGTAGCTCGCTCAGTGGTTAGAGTGTCGGCCAGGGCACTGAAGGGTCTCGGGTTTGATTCCTGATCAAGTGCACGTACCTGGGTTGTTGTGGGTCCACTTCCCGCCCCGGTTGGGGTGTGGTGGGAGGCAACCAGTCAATGTGTCCCTCTCACATTGATGTTTCTCTCTCCCTCTCCCTTCCTCTCTCTCTAAAAAAAAAAAAAAAATCAATAAAATCATGTTCTTGGGGGAAGATTAAGAATTTTTTTAAAAAAGTACTTAACCCATTACTGCCTGCGTTGTTGGGCCAGGCACCAGAGAGCACATGGTGGCCAGCAGCCACCACTGTCGATCTTTCCATTACTGCTAATGAGGATACCTTGTAAATGTGTTATTGTGAAATGCTCTGCAATCAATACTTTTAAAAAAGAGCTTCTTGGTATATTTTGTGGCTGATTCCCAAAATAATTCAAGAGGAGGGAAAGACAGAAATGGTTACCCTGGTGCTGCAGGTGAGAAAGTAGAGGATTCGAGAGGAGAAGGGGTTGCTGGAATTTATCAGCTAGGACAGGGCCAGCTGGGAGCGCAGCTCAGGGCCCTGCCTCCAGCCCTCTGTCCACAGCTACCTGGGCAAAACCAAGAGGCAAAGCACCCAGAGGAAAGAACTGGAGGCCGCGTGCCCACGAGAGAGCAGGAGGGCGCTATTCTTGTCTGGTCTGGTCTGGTCTAGTCTATTCACTTGCCTGTTGCTTGGGACCACGTGGGTTTTGCAGCCCTCCGAGGTCGTGGCCTAAGGTCTGGAAAGCACTGCAGGAGCTGTTTCCTAACGCAGGGCAAGGGTCTGCTACTTCAGAACGAGCTGGGAAGTTATTTGTGTTGCTGTTGAAATTTTAAACACATGGAGCAGGAGCGGTGAGGGTAGGATGACCCCCAGTGCTGAGCTCCCAGCTTCTATAGCCCGTTTCGTCTACACCTCTGGCGGTATTCCCTGTTCCATGGTTGTTTTTTTAAAGAAAATACTTGGGAAATTAACAACCAATACAGACTCCCTCTGTGTCCCCCAGACTCAGGCCTAGCAGGTCTGCAGGGACTGGTCCCATCCCCAGGTGATATGGAAGGACTGACCCTCGGAGCCTCAGAACTGGTGACTTCTGAGGGCCCCACCATTTGCAAGTGTAGGATTCTGTAAGCGACAACCAGGCCATGGGTTCTGTGAAGGGAAGCGGGCAAACCCTTCAGGTCTGCAGGCACACAAGAGGCTGTCCCCAGGACAGAGGGGCCCGCCACACACCCAGTGGCAGGAGCAGGAAGGGGTGAGACTGAAGGAAGCGGCTAGCCCTCTGTGTCCTCACAGTGCCCTATGCTGGGCTGGCACCCTGCAGCCCAATGATTTGTGTTGCTTACCAACTGCCTCCATTCACCTGTGCCCTCCTCACGGGCAGGGGGCCTTTGACCTCCCTTTATTCCCCAGAGCCCAGCACAACAACTGTCAACTCAGGTGAATCGTGTGACATCGGTAATATTTGACCAGATGTTACCTGGAATCTTTACATTCAAAATATCAACTCTCTGACTCCACCTCATATACAGTAAGTATTCAATGAATGGCCCATGAGGGACTATGCTCTGACACACCAGCTACCAAGCTAGTGTTTCTGGTTAACCCAACAACAGTGCCAGGCTGCTGTGCCCCAGGTGCACGTGAGGAAATGGATACAATGCACCTGGAAGTGCTCAGCACAGTGCAGGTGGTCAGTGTGTTCAATGTGCAGGAATGATTGTTACTATTGCTGCTCAAAGCCAGGCAGCTCCCTGACACCAGAGTCAGGAGCTGAGCCCAGGCCCACCTGCTCCAGTCCAGCTGCCTTACCAGGCAGTGTGTCGTGGAAAAGCTGCAACCGGAGGCCTCTGAAAGCAGACTGAACTCAACGGGGTTAACACACGGACATGTGAAAAATATAAAACCACTTGGCAAGTGCCAATGAGTAATTTCTGGGTAAGGAACAAAACCAAGGAGCTGGTCTCCGTTCTGGAATAAAGCACTGCAGTAGTTCAGGGAGGGCACCGAGCGCATGCCCCTGTGGCTCTCCTGCCGGACAGGCCAGGCTCAGGCCGGCCGGCCACACAGAGCCCCGCCGAAGCAGGAGGCCGCTCCTCTTACCTCTTCGCTCTGTCTTTCTCATCTTCATCCATTAGACTTTCTATGCTGTTTTTCCTGCAAAAGAGAACAGTGATCACTGACTGCTGTCTGCGTCTAGCTCTTTCTTACAGATCTTTCTGGTTGTTCCCATTTTAGTTTTATCTAAACCACATGCCTTAGTCCAGAGGTTCTCAAACTTTTTTGTCCAAGCAACCCTTTGTATACTCACAAATAACTGAGGACTTTAAAGAGCTCTTGTGTACATGGGTTAAAACTGAGAAATCTTAAATACACACCACTTATTCTATTAGGCATCAGAGTGATGCACTCGTCAGGTGTCGAAGAACATCCAGGAAAGTCCACTGCACACTCATGAGAGTAAAATGGGAAATCTTAGGTTTACAGAAAATGCAAAGCCATTAGAGAGCGTTCCTATGTATCTTGCACCCAGTTTCCCCTATTATAAACACCTTACATCAGTAACGTACAACTGACACAATTAATGAACCGATATTGATACATTATCATTAGATAAACTCGATATTTTATTAATATTTCCTTAGTTTTTGCCTACTGTTCGTTTTCTGCCCCAGGATCCCTTCTAGGACACATTAACTTTAGTCATTGTGTCTCCTTAGTTATCTCTCCGATGTGGTTGTTGCTCAGATTTTCCTTGTTTCTGATGACTTTCACAATTTTAAAGAGTGTCTGTAGGGTGTCCCTCAGTTCGGGTTTGTCTGATTTTTTTCTCATGGTCAGACCGGACATATGAGTTTTTAGGAGGAAGTGCTCAGAGGTCAAGTGCCCATCTCATCACGTCACATCAAAGGTATTAACAGGGCACATCACTGTCCATTGACCTTAGTCACCTGGATGAGGTGGTGATAAACTTACTTTTAAACTGTATGTTAGTTATATTTCCACATAATATGTGCACTTTGCTTTTCCTCGACTTTCAGATATCCCTTATGGGGAACTGCTGAAGTGTTCTTCAAAGTGCACCAGTAGCAAGAGAGCTCCGGTGGCTCCTCGTTCTCATCAGTACCCGGTATTGCCAGTCTTATTGATTTTAGTCATTCTAGTGGGCTTGTCATGGGATCTCCCTGGGATTTGAATTTGCATTTCTCTGATGACTATGGTGTTGAATATCATTTCACAGACTTACTGGCCATTGAGATGGCTTCTTTTGTGAGGTATACAAGTTTTATACCCATTTCCCTCCTCCCT